TTGTACTCTGTGGCCATGATGTGCTGGTCTTTCTCATAATTCACACAACAGCATGAAACAAACAGATTTTGAGTCAATCACATTTACTATTGTGTAAAAATGAAAATAAAATGCGGAAAGCAATAGAGGATTTTTCACAGCACGGATTATTAAGTGTCCAGAAGGATTAAGAGACTTGTCCAAGATCACATGGATTGGGAGAATACTGGGAAATTAACAAAAGCAGAGGAGAGAAAGTAGAACTTTTCAGTGACCTTAAAAAGGCCTTGGTCTTTCAGACGAGGAAGAATCTGGCCTACAGCAACCCTAAGATTCCAAGCATATGGAGAATGACTATGCTAAAAACGACCTTCTAGTTGTATTTCTCCCTCCTTCAAGAGAGCCACTGGGTTTAAAATGCAGCATGAGGGTGTTAGGTTAAGTACAATTTTCTGAAAAGGAGCATTCTGGAAAAATGAATTATGGCAAGAGGCAGTGACAGTCACAGTGGCTACCTAAATGAATGAATTATTGAAACATGTTAAATGGGGAGGGGGCAAGGCTAAGTAAGAACACATGAGATAAGATGGCCTCTCTACTTACTATTCCCTCTATATGGAATGATTTTCCCTCAGGTCTATACATGTCTCTCTCATTTCATTTAGATCTCTGAATGACATTGGAACAATGACATTTAATAATACCTCCCCAGAGAATCTTCCACCACAATCTACTCAAAAGTGGTCATTCCTCTCCTCAACCTTCCATCCCTCCCTCTGCTTCATTTTTCTTCACAGCCCACAACACCACCTGAAATTACAGTGTACGTTTGTTTACTCATTCACTGTCGGCCTCCCATGAGGGCAGGAATGTCTCCTGGGCTCCACGAGGGCAGGAATATCTGTCTTGTCTAATCTCTAGAGTCTAGAGCATTGCCTGGTAGGTAGTAAACGCTCCACTCATGTTTTTGAATCAATGAACACCTCTCCCAAGTCCCAAGCTCTTTGAAACTTCTTATAAGACTTGTCATGTTTCCTGTGGAAAGGAGCTTTGTGAGTCCCCTATGTCTTACATGGATGCCCACAGAGACAAGGCTGGGCCCTGGGACATAAATAAGGAGTCCCTCAGCCCAGAGAGTAGGTATCCATCGCTTCTCCTGTGCCGGAACCCACCATTGCAGAGAAAGGGGCAATCTCAGGTTTGGACACTCCCTGGAGGAGTGGGGCCACTCTGCTCCAAGCAGCTCTGCTGCTCTGATAAGGCCATCTATGGCATCAGTGGTAAAGAAGAACTTTACTGTTGACCCAGGGTCAGATGGGGGCACTGCAGATGTAGTCAACTGGTCAAAAAGTGCTAGGTGAGTCTTAATATTTCTGACAGCTCAGAGGTATTGCTTTTGAAACAGTATACACTAAGTCTTCGTTTGGGGGATAAAGGTTCAAGTGTTAAAAGGTGACCCTAGACAATTCTTGGCTCCCCTCACCTGTACCTACCTGTGCCTACAAGAGACAAGATACTGGTTTTAGAGGTTAATCTATGTCTGGGCTGTATTCAGAACAGCCATGTTAGAAGATCTGGGCATGGGGCCTGGGCACCATCAATATTTTTAAAAGCTCTCCAGGGGATACCAATGTGCGATCAGGCTTAAGAACCACTGGACTAAAGTGAAATGTAAATTTCATTACCTATCTTTGGATCTCTTTCATTTTCCCAAGCGTTTGGCTCCTTGTGGAATGGGAAAACTATTTTCATAAATATGAGAATACTGGGGAAAAAAGTCAACCCAGCACATTCACACACACACACATACACACACACACACACACACACACACACACACACACGCATATGCTGCAGTTCATTCTATTATTTTTCTACTCTTGAGGACTTCAAATTTTCAGATCTTTCTCAGCACTCTCATGCTACAAGAGAGACAGCTAAGTTCACAACACCACCCATGGAATTTCTGGAGAAAGACAAATATGGCAGAACTCTATTAGTTGTCCTCCTCTTTGTAGTACTATTGCTTTAGCAGTTTTGACAAAATTTAGGAAACTGGAATCTGAAGGGCCTGAAAGCAACTAACTGAGACTCACCATGGAGGAGGAGGCTTTCCACGTCCCTATGAAAAACGATGGATGCCTCCACTCCTTTCAAATAAACTCCTGTACTGTGAAGGGGGCCTTGTGGTTGCATTTCCTGGGTGTGGCAGCTTTTCATGGTGGCTACATGAGAATCTGGGTGGGGAGAGGGATTGTTAAACAAACAAACAAGCCTGTGATTATGAAAGCTGAATATGGGCAGGTAAGGCAGACCTTCACCTTGTGCCTCCCTTTTCTCTGACAGTAAATATTACAGGTTTTAAAGAAGGAAACCCCTGGTTCCACTGTTTGTCTGTTATTAGTGATTAATGAAGGAGAAGCTGACCTTTGGGGAAACTTTATTTGATGTCCAGAATTTTACATTTGGATCTCTCTTCACGACATTCAGTAATTGTCAGTTTTGAACAAGATACACATAGGTTTTCTTAACACAGCTCTTTGCTCATCTTAATTTGTTCGTTTCCTTCCTTTTTAATAAGCACAAGGTAGATCTTTTCTTGATAATAATGTCACTGCCTTACATTAGATGTCTGAAGTGTTTTCTAGGTGGCTGGGTTGTATGTGTGTGTGTGTGTGTGTGTGTGTGTGTGTGTGTGTGTGTGTGTGTGTGTGTGTATGTTTTGGGGACTGGGCGATTTGTGTGTCCTGGATTGTCATTATAAACTCAGCTGGAGTTAGGACAGTCCAATAAACCGGCAAAAGTAACCTATCTCCTTCAGAGAATACCTAAAAAGATGACAATGATGATGGTGGTGACAGCTAATATTTATTAAGCACCAAGTGTTAGTCAGGAATTGTGTTAATTATTCTACACGTAAAATTTTCTTTAATCCTCCTACTAAGCCAATAAGGTGGAAATTACAATTATTACCACCTTACAAATGAGAAAACCAAGGCACAGAAATATTAGGCAACTTGTCTAAAAGAAACAAATCCATCATGATTCAGAGCTATTAACAGTAAGGACATGTAGCACATCTTTCTGGTAGGAGTCTTCCTCGAGAAACTCCATACTTTATGAAAAACAGCATCAGCTGTTCACAATCCGACTCTGACTCACCTCCTTTCCCTCTAATCTCTCATAGAGAACTGACTGCAGTCAAAAGGATTGACTCACTAGACTGCAAAGTGGCATGCCCTTCCTCTTTCGGCATAACATCTACCCTTTAAGTTCAAGTACCATTTTTTCCATAAAGCCATCCCAGCCACTCAAATACAACCATCTGTGAAAACTTTGTGACCCCCTAATTCCACAAAACATTATCTGTCTTTAAGAAATCCTAGGCAAGTGGTTATTTTTATGTCTAGATCATAGATATTTGTGTCATATATGCATATTTTAAGCTCGTTCTTATAGAAGCACAATGCCTGACACATAGTAGGTCTCTAATAACTATTTTCTTACTATTGTTTCTTAAACTAAAAAAGTTTAGACAATCTCAGGACAGCTTCAAGGCAACTGTGTAAACAGAACTTTTCAGGGCAGATGGGAGCTGTGGAGTTTTACTCTCTATAAATGGAATTCTGTTCCAGTGGTTGCTGGAAGCTGTCTCTCCACCTGGTTACCCACACTGAACTTAAAGATGACTTTAAACTGGAGGGGTCAGATGAATGCTCTCGCACTTGAGTGGTTATGGAAGGAACGACCGGCAGGACTGGGGATCTCTGTATGCATGTTTCCATTCTGGATGTAACCACAGGCAGTGCCAAACCTTTATATTCTTATTTTCTGAAACTTCAGATGACAGGTGGTAGATACTTCCATGGCGCTGGCACAAGAACTGGTAAATACAGAACCACATGTTTAAAATATGCGAGAACAACAAACCAGACTATCGAATCCATTTCAGAGGATTGTCAAAAGCCGCAATCTTGAGTGACATAGCCATGTGTTATGCTAGTAACATACAAATCCCCATCTGTGAAGCACCAGAGTGTCACCTGCACACCCAAGAATAAAGAATTCAGGGTATTTTTTCACGTAAAGACCAAGGCAGAGAAGGTAAGTGATTATGCATTGTATCTCCCCTTTTATATTCTTCCCATCACACAATGAACAATTGTCCTTTTGTGTGTGTGTAAACTGTTTAAATAAGAAGCTTCTGTTAGTTCTTTTATTAAATATGAAAGAAGAAATAAATATTCCCATTTTACAAGCACAGAGTCTTTCTCATAAAATAAAATAAAATAAAATAGAAAAAGAAGAGAGAATGAGTATCATCAAAGGACAATTACCTGTTCAACGATTGCTGGAGACAATCAGTGAGGACCAGTATGTGTAATAATAAGTCTTAAGATGCAATATCTATTTATGCCTGAACTTTCTTTATGGACAACTGCTCAAGGAAAATGACTTGCTTCCTTTGCCTGACAAAGAAAATTTAGGTAGCTGCTCTCCAACTTCAATTTCCAGAGAACTGGAGGTTGAAACTGTCATCCGTAGAACAGCTTTTGTTCAATTCGAAGATCACATCACAGGATATTAAAGTGACATGTCAGGAGGGGCTATTGTCCCACTGTCAGGGTGTCCTGGATGTGTTGTGTTTATTATGTGGGCTTTCTTCATTTAATCATTGATTCAAAACCCCTCTTGACATGGACTGATAAATTCTCCTTATTGACAAAGGTACAATACGAGAATATGAAAACAGGTCTACTGGGAAAAGACTGACCGGGAGCACCTAACAGAAAAGACAAGGAAAAACACACAATGACAGTCCTTACCATATTCAAAAATAACATGCTGGTCTGTTTTCTAACTTATTTTGTATAATGTAGTCATGCACTCAGCACATGCATTTCTAGCGCAGACTGTGAACTGAGAACTATTAACCAAAGTCCTATTTCCTTACACTAAAAAGGCTCTGCCAAGCAGTTTCAGTAATGGCAACAATGAAAAATCAGACTGCAGGTGCATACCTTAACCTCCTGATGGGTAAAGACCTCGACATCCACCACACAGGCAACCAGAGTGGAAACATCACAGTCCATGCTAGGGGCTGGCATTCCCCCTCCTGAATTTTTCATCGAGAGTTAGGCAACCTCAGAGTTATGAGTGAAGGGAAGAGCCTCCAGATGGATGTTGCTGCAGCCAGGCCCAGGTGCTGTCCTGCTCTGGGGACGGCTGGAGACTTGGGCTCCAGGAGCCCGCTCCCACTGCACGTAGCCCTCCGCGTCTGAGGCAGCACAGCAGAGTAACGAACGGCCCGGCTCGCTCATGGCAATGACATCACCACAAAGACTGACACAAGCTGAAGCTATTTTTTTTTCCTCCGAGCCTTTTATCTCTAGGCAGTGCAGTGGAGCAAATTGAACATGATTATGTGCTAAATCTGAACTCAGACTAAATCAATCCAGGCAGCGTTAGCTAGGAACTGAGTCATAGCTGTTGTTGCAGCCGAGTGCTTATGTCTGCAAAAAGCAGGAGGGTGGGGGAGAATCTGACACCAGAGGTTCTGCTTTGAGGGGCTGGAGTGGTTGAGAGGTGTAACTCTGCAGATGAGCCTCCCGAGGTTAAGGTTTGACAATTTTCTGCCTTCAAGATGAGCAGGAAGTTGAGGCATTTTGCAAATTGCTTGGCTTCTGTTAATTGCTCTGTGCCACTCGGAGCAGCCACACATGTTCTGGGCATCCTAATGCATCCCGGGCATGGGCTGAATATAAATCCATTCTTAGAGTGACTAAAGAGCTGGTTGTCAGTCATTTAGGCAGAATGGTAAGAGGAGATAATTAGAGGTTTGTGGAAATTCTATTTGAATCACATAAGTGCAGACCAGTAACTCTAAAAGCACCCTTCCAAGCTCGGGATTTCAGGCTGTCTCCAAGGTCATTCAAACCAAAAGCGGTCTGCAGAAAGGAGCTAGAGCAAACGTCTCACTCGGGGACAGATGGCAGGGTCTAATGGGCAAAGTCACCAATGTGGGTCATTGTCAGATCCTCAGGGCTCTACTTTACCTGAGACTGAGTTCCTGAAGGGGAGGGCCACAGATTAATTCACTTTTATGTCTTGAGCCTTAAGCAGAGTGTCTGACATGAGAAGCCAATATTTATTTAATGAATAGATCAACCAAATAGGAATAGCCATCTTTTATAAAAGGAAAGAGCAAAGGAAAATTTTCAAATTGGTTTTTATTTTATTATTAGTTATGTCGTTCCTGCAAGGTTATCCCTAGTAGGAGTTCACTTGCATTTTTAGTGGCTGTTGGAGCATCGCGATTTATAACCGATTGGTACTTTTCTAACATATGATTGGACAAAGACTCCTAATTTTACATGCAGATGAGAAAGGTGACAATTCAGACTGAGGGTAGAGGTTTTGTGGTTGGTCCTCATTGGACTACATTAGAACCCAGTGTTCCCCTTCAACAAGGCATTTTCCATGCTAAGATAATCATTCCACAAGTGCAGATATTTAGACTGATGAAATTGTGTGTGTCTATGTGTTCATGTGGCACTTAATATACTGTCCAAGGCACTATGGAGAATATGAAGTCATATATGCATATTATTCAACTAACACCTACTAAGTGATGATTATGTACAAAGCTTTGCACCAGATACTCTGAAGGATAAAATGAGGAAAAGAGGAGGAGATAAGACAAACACTTATCACAAGGCAGTGATGATGGTACTGAGGAGGTACAGGCAGCATTCTGTGGGAGCACTCAAGAAAGAACAGCAGACGCTGCATGTTAGATATTGTGTTAGAATGGCAGGTGACTATCAAGGAGGAGGACAAGACCTCTGCTCTGATCTTAAAACATGGGTAAGACTCTGTCAGACAGAAAAGAAGTGAGAGAAGCCCTCCAGCTAGGGTGAACCATACTAGAAATGCCCAGAGGAAAGAAAGAATAAGGTATTTGGGGGCAAGACGCATTGAGGGTTAAATTTGACTTGGGCATGATGTAGATAAAACAGCAAGAACCAGACAGTGCAAAACCTGGGAAGTCCTTAGTGTCTATATGTTCAGTCATGAAATAGTAGGGAAAGTATTTGAGAAAGTGAATGGGGTCTATTTATGCATAAATATAGCTAAAATGTAAAGTATATACAAAGATGAATACCATTGGCATCTGTTCACGAGGCAAAACAAAGATGAATATTTTTTCATACGCCACATCTTAAAATTTACTTTTTAGTTTTCGCAGCAGTAGCCTGCTGGTAAATGTTTAACAATCAGCTCTCTGAAAAGAAAAAAAAAATTCTACTTCATAGCATTTGTCGACTTCTGTGGTGTAAATATTCTCATCATGGCTGATTTCAAGCAATCAATGTGAAGTCACTGAACAAAAAATTGGGAAGAGAGGCATATAATTTGTTCACACACACTATTCCAACACATCATTGTTTCATAGTCATGAAAATGTTACCAGATCAGTGACAGTTCATTCCTAGAGGGGAAGTCCACCATCTAAGTTCGGAACCCCTCAAGGAAAAACAGCAAAGTAGAAGCAATGCGTCATAATCTTTGCTCTTTTTATGTAAGGGGCTCTATGAATTAGTTCACACTTTGTGTTTAGGAAAGAGCTATAAGAGATATATATGTATTATTTTAAGAAAAAGAACCCTGTTATGATCGTGGCTAGACAACATTGGCTTATACAGGAAGCTAAGCCCTACTCAAAATTGTAAAATAGGCAGTTAAAAAAATGTTTTTTTCCTGATGCATCCTTTTTTTTCTGATTCAGTTCTGTCCTGGAGATTCCTTCCTGCTACTCAAGCATCCAGTAACTTGATGCTCTCCCCTTAAAAAATATCTTATTAAGGACACAGCTCTCAACTACTCTATGTTAGCATTAAATGACTGATGTAGTATAGTATTATCCATCCCAGAGCAAACTGTATTTTCACGGGGACAGAATCTTAAGTTGGGTAAATAGTGTTTTTAGGGTAGAATGATAGGAATCAAGAGCAAATAGTTTGGGCAAAGAAACTTTTCAGGGACTCTAAAATAAAATTATTGGGTTTTTAATAGGTTGGTTCAACAAAATGTTTATATAATACAAATCAACTGTCTATACAATACAGTCATTTCTCTATGGGTTAGAGAATCTATGGGGCTTCCCTGTTAAAACAATGTCCTGCTTCTCTAGAGTGCCTTTTTACAGCTAGGGAATGACTGGCAGCCTTGGAGGTATCTGGAGTATGGGTGCACCTTGACCAATGGCTAAATGCCCTAGACACACTGGTTTCTGGCTACTCTCCCACCTTATTGCATATCATTGTAGTCTTTAATCTCTATGCCCTAGCTCCACTGGCCCTTTTGGCATTTCCCCTACCCCCTAAAGCCCAGTTCTTTTTCACCTCAGGTCCTTTGCACTTGCTATTCTCTCTGTCTGAAAATATTCAGAACTTTTAATGGCTTGATTCTTCTTATTACCTAGATCTCAATGCAGATAACTTCGTGGAAAAGCCATCTCCAATCAGCTAAAACAAAATAATTGTGTACATGCACACATACACACAATCACTGTCCTGGCATCTTCATTTTAACTTTATTCATAGCACTTTTCACTACCTGAAACTATCCTTTTCATTTATTTTTCTATTTATCCATTGCTTGTCTCCCCAGCTAGAATTTTATCTGAATAAAAGCAGATTTTTTCCCCCTTGTTCTGTTACCTGTTATATTTCCAGCTAGAAGAATGCCTGGCTCTTACAAGGAATTGTAACAAATATCTGAGTATGAATGGATAAACAAATGAATTTTAAAAGGCAAGTAGAGGGACTCAAACTAATAGAGGTGTCTCCTGAGCTAGGTGGGAGTTGCAAGGAGGCCTTGCAGGGGGATACAAGGGAATGTGAGTTTGGTGATAACCCTGATCGCTGACAGCTGAGTCCTGCAGAACTCTGCTCAGGAGGGTCCTTTCCAGCTGATGTAGCCAGAAAACCTTGGGATTCATCCAAACCACTGCTCTTCCGATGACTGACCACACTGAGAAAAAGGATGCAGTATGCACAGACCCCTTGGGCAGAGGTCATTGCCCTTCCCTTAGGCCAGGCAAATCTCTAAAAGGATGGACAGCTGGGCTGGTACACTCACCTCCACCTCTTCAGGTGGGCACCTTTCAGTCCCAGAAGTCGCTGCAGCAGCAGCAGCAGCAGCCATATCTGTTTTGCTAATGAGCATAGAAGCTCCCAAGACAGCTGTAGGGTTGTCAAAGGTTTTGCTCTTTCTGTGTGTGTTTCTAAATCACTTGAGTTTGTTTTCAATATTTACTATAGAAAATTTCAAACATATTCAAAAGTAGAGAGAATACAATAGTAGCTTCTTTACCCACCATCCAGGAACAACAATAATTAACAGGGGGCCAATCTTGCTTCTTTTCTGCAGTGTTTCTCAGAGTGACCCCCAGAGCAGCAGCATCCGCATCACCTGGGAACTTACTAGAAAGGCAGGATCTAGGGCCCCACCTAAGACTGAAGTAGACACTCTGGAAGTGGAGCCAGTATCTGTAATTTTTTTTCTTTATTTCAATAGCTTTAGGGGGTACAAGTCGTTTTTGGTTACATGGTTGCATTGCATAATATAGTGGCCAAGAAGTCTGGGCTTTAAGTGTACCCACCAACCCCACCTGTGGACATTGTACCCGGTAGGTGATTTTTTTAATACCTCCACCCTCTCCCCTCCTCCTCATTCTGAGTCTCCAATGAGACGAAATCATTCTCTATGCCTTTGCAGATCCTTAGTTTAGCTTTTGCTTATCAGCGAGAACATATGGTGTTTGATTTTCTGTTCCTGTATTAGTTCACTTAGGATGAGGGTTTCCAATTCCCATCCAAGTTGCTGCAGAAGACATTATTTCATTCTGTATTTTAACAAGAACTGCAGGTGATTCTGAGTCAAGCTCAAAGTCTGAGGCACCACTGCCCCATGTCCCTATCCTCTTCCATACTCACTTCAGATTATGTTGAAGCAGATGACTGACATCCTATCATTTCATCTATCAATATTTCAGCAGATATCTCTAAAACACAGGGGACTTCTCTCTTGAAATCATAATACCTATCATTACACACTCCCAAGAAACAAGAATAATTCCTTAGTATCACCAAATGTCCTGCCTGTGTTCACATTTCTCTGACTGTACTACGACAACCTCTTACCTCCCATTCCTTCTCCCTTCTCTGCTTGGTCCCATCCTGGTGTCCCTTCTCCTTTCCTCTTTAACAATTTGGTTATTTAAGTATTCACAATAGCAAGAGCACAGAACCAACCTTATTGCCCAGCAAAAGTGAACTGGATAAAGAAAATCTGGTACATATACATGATGGAATATTACACAGTCATAAAGAAGAACAAAATTATGACCTTCACAGCAACTTGATGCAGCTGGAGATCATCATACTAAGTGAACTATCACAGAAACAAAGAACCGAATACCACATGTTCTGACTCATAAGTAGGCCCTGAACACTAG